GATGTTCTTACCCATACGCTTAGAACATATTTACCAGGGAGAAAAAATATTTTTTTCCAAAATATGTTCTAAGTGTTTGTCCTACAGTATAATGCTGCACATACTGTATATATATACATACGTATAACTAATAATAATGTGTTTAGACATACATATTGGTATGTGAGCCCTCATGCGACCAAAATGCTGGCCGAAGCCAAGGATGGACGGATCTTCATTGTCGGAGGTGGTTCTTGGGGTCGGCGCTTGGGATTAGGTCCAGGTGATATGATATCATACCTTTGGACAAATGCCACTGCATACATGTGAAAGTGTAACCATGGACTGGCACCCAGCTAATGAGAATCATGGAGCTTTGGCAGACAGACGATGATGTCAGCCTGTTTAGTATGAACTTCCACGCCAACACAGAATGTCTCAGGCCGCAATGCCGAAGAGAACTTTGGGGACGTTTGGTCCGGGAATATTGAAGGCACCAGGGATGGCTTGGAAGACACTCGAAGTACAGGTACATTAGCGGGGCAAAAGGCATTTGTACGTGCTGAAAAACTTTTACTGTAGTGTAAATTTTACACTGCTCCGGCCAGGCTTGCGACAACACAGACGACCAGGAAACACAATTAAACACTTCAACTGGTCGGTAAAGTTTGGCAGCTGTGGGCTGCCAACCTTTGCCCACACATGCCTTTACCTCGTACGTCCTTTGGAGGTGGCGATTGGCAACGTTTGGTCGAAGTAGCCTTTGGGCCAAGACACGGTCACGCACTTTTGTGCAGCAGGACTGGGTTCAGCGTCGGCTCTGGCCATTGCAGGGATTAGTTCCCTCCGACTTGACTGCTTGTACACCTTGAAGTTGTTTGGGTGATGAAGATGTCCCTCTTTGTATTTCTGGACAAGTCAATCAGGTTCTTGCTCGAATGCCATGTGCAAGCGCGGTAGGAGGGTTCAGGCACTGCTCCTTGAAGAAAATTGCTTTAACATGTTACCACTTGTTACCTTCTTCAACACGGTGACAAACGCGAAGCGCTCTCGGTGACCTTTACATTGTGTACAGTGACTATAGTGCGTGCGTGTGTGGGTGTGACGGTATGTTTGCATGTTGCTACATGCGCTGCATGCATGGGCCCGCACAGAATGTTGGACGTGTATGGCCGTATGATGCCCACAGACCGATTTGGACCAAGAAATAAATCATAATCATATTTTATAATATGTGAATTCTTGTGAGTCTTGTGCACCTCGCTTCAGATGCTGCCTTTGAAATGCTGGGCTCAAGATCATTATATACATGTTTTGAAGCAACATGGAGAAGCCTTGTAAGCCCATGATACATTCAATTCAATGTTGATGAGCTTGACGGGTCTGTTGGTGCTTGCAGCATAGAGTTTCCCAGAGTTTGTGGGGCCTAGTGAAGGTCATCCTTTAATTTAGTGCCCATGGCGGAAATAGAAATCATGACCGAATTGAAGGTGTCGGCGAACCTTGCCAAAACAAGGGAAACCTGGGACAAAGTGGGCAAGACCAAGTGGGTCTTGTAGGAGCTGGGGTAAGGCTTAGGTAGACCCGTGATCGAGTTTGTTCAATTTGGCCGCAAGTGTGCTTTCGGCCGATAAGAAGTCATAAGAGGTGTTCCCTTAAAGGTTCCTGTTTGTGTGAGATTTGCCGGGATCACTCTTGCGGTAAAGAGAAGAACGATCCAGAGCTGCCAAACACTCATCGAGCTTCCGTCTAGTTCTTCAAAAACAAAGTGCTATAAGTAGCTGGAGAGTTCTGACATTGTATATAGTGAAGCCCTAATTTTACACTCTCACCGCACCCCAGTCAGGTTGAGGTCTCAATGACACCAGGTCCAGGAAGCATCAGAAACGAAGCCAGGCCAAAGGTTTAAAGGTTACAAACCTCACGGCCGTCTATGAGCCGTGGACCTAGTTGCTGTGTAGCCGTAGCCGTTACCCTGCACGTGTCCATTTTACTTTACTCTTGACACAAGAGGCTAGTCAGCCAACTGAGAGCGAGGGCAAGGAAGACCATGTTGGAAACCAAGGAAGAAGCCGGCATCATTTTATGTGAGAGCAGCTGCCACATTTCTCCGGGGCACACGTGACAAGGACAGGTTATTTGGAATTGTGATGTCTTTCTCGATCTTCAAGGGGGATGGATGGTGCATAGCAGGCGAGTTCAAGTGTGGTGTTATGGACAGTTTCTTGCAAATTGCACTCCTCCATTTCAAAGCAACCATCCGCATGCAACTACAGGGGTGCTCCTTGCACGCAGGTGGTTGGCAGACGATCCCAATGTGACAGGAGCCCGTCAACGAATTGAGAGTCACCGCGCTGGGTAGCACTATAGATGTGGCTGTCACTGTCGCAGTGCGCATGGAACGTGATGGGATTGGTGACTGGGAGGCACATAGATTAGACGCACAGTCGTTAGGTGCTTTCGATGCACAAGGGTTTCGAGGAGCATTAGTCTCCTGACAATCCCGTCCATGTGTTGCGGCATAGGTTCTCTCAATGCCAGTGGGAGTTTTATGGAGTTTTGCCATTTGGGGATCAGGCAAAATCGCAACCATTCACACCGACTACGTGCAGACCCTTGGCTTACTTACGAAGCTTGAAAAGGATCCAGGATCGGTCGTCAAGGCAACGGGCATCTCAAGTCACGAGTTCACGCTAATAGAATACAGACGGCAGTTTTCTCTCCCTGAAGCACGGCACTCTGGTACTGGTGTTGATTGGATCTACGCACGCGAAGAAACTGGACACCCAGCTTACTCTCGAAGATAACTTGTAATCAGAGGCAACGGCTACTTTGCATGTACATGAGGCAATGAGGCTTGGAAGTATCATGTACATTGCCTTATGCAAGGGGGCTTATCCTGGACCCGGGTGAGCTCCTATTGAGCATGGCATTTCCTGACCATCGTACCATACAGCAGCAAAAATGAATATATCTCTAGCAAAGCTCGGAGTTTGTACTTCAACTTCGTACAATGCCGCGGTATACCTTTCATATCCTTTCATGGATTCAAGTTTCAACACACATTTGGATATGTTTCAGATGTTTTCATTTGTTTGTATATAGATGTTTGTAGTTCTATGTTTGTCCTCCTCAACCGCAACATGTAGCTCTCGGCTCTCAGGGTCTCCAGGGGACAATCTCCACAGATATCCTTTCGATTGCTGCGAATCCTCCCTCCGGCAATCCTCCGCGAGGCAGCGTGGGCACTGTTGGATAGCTATCAGCTGTGTGTCTTTCATTGGTAACTAAACATGTCACATGTCAATGCCTTTGTTTGGATTTTGAATTCGGCCTGCAGAGCCGGAACGCACGGAGGTTCTGGACCGTAGACAGAGTGAAAACATTCAGTTGGAATCTGCATGACGGGGTAATGCCACCTGGGCTTATGCAGTCGAGCACAGGTAGAGGTGAAACCGGAATTTGTCGAGGAGTTTCTGAAGGCCTGTAAGAATTCATGCCGCCGATGTGTTGTCTACTTGTGAGGATGAAGTTGTGACGAAGCTTCGAAGCATACCCGTATGTAGATGTATGTACCGGTCGATGACTACAAGCTGTAATAAACACATACATACAGTAGTTAATTAATAGGATTCTTCTAGGTCCTAGCTGCTAGGCTCAATGGACCACAGGTGTCTCGGGTTGGAGCTCATGATGTCGCACCATAGAGCTTTGTGCAAACAGTCGTGTTTTGCAACCACCTACCACATATTGTACTGACTACGCAGCCGAGCGTGTGCTGAGAGCGACTGAATCAAAGGGATAGTCAGGTACCTGGGAACTAAGCATAGGGGCACTGAGGCCAGTACTAAGAACTTGTATACACATCACCCGCACTTCTGTTGCGTCAGTCGTTACTGGGCGCGTGCAAAGCCAACTTATACATATCATATATATATATGTATATATGTTTGGTTGCGGAGCCGCTCAAGTGGCCAGCTTGCCACATCGTCCCAAGGTTATGACAGCGCTTGCTGCAGGCACGGGGCAGCATGCCTGAGTTAGTTATATAGACCATACAAGATACCAAAGGCAGATGACAGGAGATAGACCATGCTTCATGAACAGTATGACGAAGCAGAGAGCCAAGTTCTTTTTGTGGGGGCTGTCACCTGATATGTGGAGGTGCGCGCGCAGAAGCAGGCTGTTTGCGGTATGACCTGCTTCGTGCTTTGGCCAATGTATTCTTGTTGATTCTTGAGCGAGTGTTACTTCTTCGAGTGGTGTTCTCGGCCACATCATGGCCTATATAACAAAAACTCAATCATCCACCTGAAGCATTTTTGATGTAATTAGACAATGTCTGATTCTTGATGTTGAGATTATATATACAATATATATATATATTATATAGTGGTTTGCATTGTGCAGATTTGCATGTTTGGTGTGTGCAGTTTTCTCTTCTTTTGGGGTGGCTTTGAGGAGGCAAAAGGCCGCTTTGAATTGTTTGAGGTGCGCAGGAGAGCAGCTGCAAGTTTTTGGCTTATGAGGCTCTTTTGACTGTTTTCGTCCTTGCATGCTCTCGTCAAACATGAAGCGGTGCAACGTTCAGTTGGATGCCAATGTTGCAATGGCTTTGTTCTGGGCAGCATGTATACAGATGTAGGCTATGTAGACTCTATCATTGGCCTTTTTTTTTCTCCTCCTCCCTTTTAGATGTTCTGCCTATGATCAGTTGCCGCGAAGAGGTCTTCATATCAAAGAAGGCGTTTGAAAGTCATGCCGCAGCACCTTACGTCACTTGGACGAGGACTTGATTGTTGTGCAGTGCGAGGTGGCTGTTTGAAAGCTCACAGGGTCATAGTGCTACGTCGCGTCGATTTTTATGCACGTCTAGCCACATGTTCACGCATGCTCCTTGTTGTCTAAGACTGTCTAAGAGTGCAACTTACTAGTGAGAGTGCTTGGCACTTTGACGTTTCGTTTAGTCAAGAGCTGCTCTCATGGTCGGCATCATGGAACAGCTGAAGTTGAAGCTGAAACGCTAACGGTTTGTGCCACGAAGATCTCAACGGTTTGCGCCAATGCCATTACTAGTAGCTTCTTTTTACTTGTGGCAAGGCCAGGAGCTACTAGTAGCGTCCTTGCTCCTAGTAGCCATGCCCTTTGTTCCTAGTAGCTTCTTGTTGCTAGTAGTAAGCCAATGTCCTGAGGCAAAGGCACTTGAAGCTTTCGAAAAGGACAGCCGAAGTCCTATAGTTGCCCGGCCATGGACACAGTGAGGGCAAGAAAGCCGACGCGGGCGCTCCTATCTATATTCATACAATGCGTGATAAGCCCTCAAAGCGGACTGAAACGATTGGCCCACAGAGTGCATAGAGTTCAACATCCACTAGCAGTAGCACCCACATGTGTTTTGTGAGAAGTTCATTGTTGGACTGTAGAAGTTCATCACCCTTACTGCCTTGTCACTGGGTCTGTTCACACAACAAACCCACTGGCAGTCATGATGTGAAGCACGTTGCGTCACGTTGAGCTTTGCTGGTGAGCTTAGAGACGACTCAGCTTGAGCTAGAGCCGTCGATTCAAGCAAAATGACAAAAGTTGAAGACTGCAAAGCATTTCCATGGACTCTCTTTGGGTGTGCCTTCCTTGCAGTTTCTCGCGCCACAAAGTGTATCGTTTTTTGAAAAACAGAGTCAGCGGGTTCCTGGCACTACCACCACCAGTGCGAATATCAGAACTTCATAGAACTTCTATTTTTTTAACAGTGGCTCAGCACTTGAAGAACGAATGAACTGCTTCCCAAGAGGACAGTTGCGGATCACCCGGGACTGTTTCCACCCCGAAGCCTAGATTTTCAACCATCCTTCTCCAGCCCTGCTCATGGTATTATCATTACTCCAGCATGGGAGACTTGTCCATCATAGTTCCAGTCAGACACCAAGGTGTCTACCTCCTTGTCAGAGGTGGAGGTCATGGATTTTCAGAGATCCAGCCCTGCACCAGCGGATCAATGGCAGCATGCAGTTCTTTGAGGTGGTGAAGGATGTGAGGGTAGGTGCAAGTCGGTGGGTGCATCATGAAAAAAGGATGCTTTTTAAAACAAGAACCGTTCAGTTGCTTGGATTTGCTTTGGAACAGTATGCGCCCTTAGGCTTAGGTCATGAATTGCCGTACATAGCTCTTTCTCCTCAGTGCACTGTGCACTCTTCACCTTTGGCATTTTTTGGCATTCAATCAGAGGCTTGCCGCACAAAGCTCCAATTGCGTTCACTCAAACAAACGAGGAAAGCCCAACGGTGGTGATTCTGGAAGTCGGCATCAAGGGGAGCTGCATTCCAGAATTCACAGAGGCGCGGCGCACCAGAATGGGAAACTTCCCACGAGCACAATGGAACCGGATAGACTTGAGGTTTGTAGGAGTCAAGTCAGTCCTTGAGCGTCAGCAGCATTTGCTTGTACTAGATGGCTTCCACTTGGCGGGCATGTGTCTTTGGTGTAGGCTCACCTTGACACAGAAAATACTTGCGGCATGTTGTGGCGGATTCTCTCAAAAAGTTGTGTGATTGGAAGCAGCTTCAAAATGTCACATCGAGTGCATGACAAGCCACGCATCCCAGAAAAAAACAACACACCCTAGGCCAGAGCAAATGGTGGGTAGATAGAGCAAATGGTGGGGTTTCTTTGGATGTTAGCTTTGCAGTTTGCCGGTTGGGTCGGCATGCAGGTGATGAGTGCGAATTGCCGAGGATCCCGCAATGAAGTGGGCTGCTTGCGTTTCGACCTGCTGCGCAGTACAACCAAAGCAGACACCTTCATGTCCTATGAGGTGGGCTGCTCAGGTTGGAGGCCATCGCTAGGAGGTTGGAGGTGAGAGGTGGCGCAGGTCGGATGTCGATGCCTCGCCACATCCTGAACTTGAGGCATTTGAATCCCCAGACTCACTGGAGATCCACAAGGACATGCCATATACAAAGGCTTGGGGTGCTTTCCAATATGGAGAAGCTCGGTTTGCGAATCGACCTTGCAGCTAGTGCACTGGAGATGATCTCGGATATCTACAGATGTGCAAGTGAAGGTTGAGTGGGGTTGACAGTTGAGATTTTTGTACACGTATTACTTTGTGGTAGCCCTGGTAGCTCCCGGATGCAGTCACTTAGGACGAACAGTTGTTGCATTGTTTATAGCGTCTGGAGTCTACACCGGTGTCAGCCTTCGACGCTCAGGACCAAAAGCCTGTGACCAGCAAGAGAGTGTCTAGGCAAGTTCAGGTCATGATCTCACCATGGCTTGGTCGATAGGACTCGACAGAGCTCAAAGCTAAGGAGCCTAATGAAATCTGGTCTAGTGGACCGGACCTTCATCTTGATGTCTTGGGTTGAGTCCTTGGGTCGTCATGACAGATCCAAGGTGGTCAAGTACAATGTCATGGACCTTCACGCCCCTGAGCTCCTCAGCTGAGCCCGAAGATGAGTTCGACTCTGTGCCCCTGCTGAGCCAATGGGCCCGGTGCTACCCGTGCAAATCGGCCGGCAGTGAGCCAGGTTGACTTCCGACGCAGTCTATTCGTGGCAGGCGTTTGACAAAGTCAGAGTCGGGCACTTTTCGGACCAGTTGCACATGGTTGCACTGTCTCCTGAGTCCACGGGAACCCCACATATGTGAACAACCTGGTGTCAAAGACAGTTTCGGACTAGTTTGCCATTGTGGTTATTGTTTGGATTAGAAAGGTTATAGCCGCTGATAAACATTTGGTGTGCACGACTTTGTCAAGAAGTCCTGTCGATACTTACTAGGATTATCTAGGATTATCAAGTTTGCGGCATCGCAAAGAGTCAAACAAAGAAGTGCATGCCGGATCATGCATAGAGACTGGGTGCTCCAAAAACCTCAACCATTTTAGGCTAAATATACGGCAGTCGAAGAAAGACAAAATAACACACCATGTTTAGGCAAGAGGGCACAAGAGCAGGTTGCGGCAGAGAAGAACATGCATTCCATGTGTTTTGTTTTTAAAGCTCGGGCCCCATGATTCTAGAGATGGTTTTAGGCTTGAAGAGGTCGTGCACTTGATTCTAGAAAGAGTTTGTGTTTTTGTTTTGCAGTCCTTGGCTTTGCAATGCTTTGCTTAGATCCACTATAATTTCAAGGGCCTGATGAATTCCTCTGCCCTTGTAGCTGCTCTAGAAACACGAGGTTTCTCGCCCCATTGATGTGTATACAATTTTGTTGTTGTGGCTTTTACCCTCAGGCATCTTGATTTTTATAGAAGCCATGTGTTGCTTATTATTCCTTTTTCTGACATGTTTGTTTGATTTTGTGAGCTCAAATTCCATACTATATAGATGCATTTTCTAGGTGAATGATTTTTTTTATTACAGTAAGTAAACCTGATGTACCCACAATTAGGCTTCTAAAATGGTCTGCACTGACCTACCCCTGAACTCTCGAGGACGATTTTTTGTTTTCAGGAACGGAGAGCTGGTGGTTTTGGGTGGCGATGAAGGTGGCATTGGGAACCAGGAGCCAGCACCACAGAGTGCGCTTCTCAGCATGGCCGGCCATAGTCATGACCACATGTCACCTACTCGCAAATGGATGAAAGGTTCTGCTGATATTTGCTAGTCTGAAGATCCTTCGAAGACCCCCGAGATCTCCCGAGCCTTCGAGATACCTCTGCATAATGGCAGAGTAGTTGTGAAATCGTTGCGTTCAATAAGCACGGTTGATCTTGCTCCTGACAAGTCTTTGGCTTAAAAGACGTCGAATCTCAATTAATAATTGAGCCAGGATAACATTGATGTATAGCATTTTTGTACATGCCCGGTTGCTGTCTATACTTCTCGGCCAACTCTTACGGATTTGTATCGAGCTAACCCTCGCCCAGACGATCTTTGGCGCAGCACTGACGGCAAGACTTGGGCGCACGACCCAGTGGCTAATTGATCTCCACCCCTAAATCCGGCGTCCAGAAGCTTGCTGGGGCCACTCAACTGGGGCTCTTGGGCTGGCCCTGGGTAGTTCAATTGACAGAAGCTGAGAGGAAGTTCGTCCCCACTGGGATGGAAATATATCCAGTTGCATCTTCTTGCTTAAGGCAGAAGCCGACATATTCTCGTTGCTGTTCTGTGATGCTAAGGCCGAGTCGGGAACCATGCCGTGGGCTCCACGGAAATTCCTTGGCGTGCGGGACCAAGAGCCAACAGTAGTGTCAATGTAAGTACTTCAATATACAAATTTATATTGCATGATTAGTAACCAACTTGGATGGGATCAATGGTCAAGGCTACCGCAGGATGTTCGGAAGTTTGGGAAGTGAGCTGTATTTTCACCATCAGAACTGAGTTGTTTGGATACTTGTGGGAACTAGATTTCGCTGTTAGGACCTACTTTGGTTTATATAGAAAGCTGTTGCACATCATCTGACAAGTCAGGGTGATCCTCAGGCCGTAATCGATGAGGCGGACCGTAGAAGGCTCAGACTTCCTCAGCCAGCGGGCCTGGGGGGGAAAGCATCAACCGTGAAGCCACTATTAGATTGAACATATTTGCTAGACGGCAAATGCTGCTGCATATGCTTACAATTGTAGGGCAAACAGTCCAAGCAGTGCAATGGACCTTTGTCCTTCACAATTATTTACAGTAGCTTTGGTGCCTGCTTGATGCATAGCAAGTGGTCCAGCTTTGTGTTGCCGTGGTTTTTTTCATGAAGGGCCCGGGACCACTGCAGGTATTTACATCGCTGGTGGCTTGGGTGGCCATGGCAGTGGCGGATTCAATGACCTTTGGATCTCTGAGGCCTGATATGCCTTAGGAACAAGAAACTACTAGGGGCTCCTGGCATCGCTACTAGGAGCAAGGACGCTACTAGGGGCTCCTGGCCTTACTACTAGTAACAAGAAACTACTAGGAACAAGAATTGCTGTAGAAGTACTGTAGAATTAGTATTCAATTATTGTAATATTCATTATATTCATTACCAATTATAAAGGAAAGAACCGTAACACCGTAGAGACTTAGTAGAAACAGGACTGACCGGATTTCAATTCATGAGGACTTCATGGGATGCACCACATGCCGTGCCTCTTGGGGGACAGCGAATGGTCAAGATTGGTCACCAGCATTCCCACTGCTTAGAGCTGCTAGTGACGCTAGTGCTGAACAAGGCATTGAGCTGTCAGGATATGGGGAGGAGCTGGCGTGCAGTGGTTTTGGCAGCGCCATGGAGTGTGCATGACCCAGTGTTGAGCGATGATTGACAGTCTGCCATGGGCACAAAGTTCTGCAGAAGAGCTGTCAGATTTCTGTGGTCTATGTTGAAACTGGAATGATTGGACAATGGGTTGGCATCAAACCGGGAAAGCAATCCAATGTTGTTGGCTTCAATTGGGCGAGGGCAAGCACAAGCAGCGACGGCAAAATGTGCTCGTGAAGATGGGAGTAGTAGGAAATGTGATGGGGTGGCACAGCTTGAGAAAACAATTTTCAACGATGGGCGCTTGGGGCAAAGCTTTTTGGGACACCTTTGCAGTGCCGTTGTCAGTCCTTGAGATCGTCTAATGATGTACTGCCGCCATGTGCCCTCTGAGGGGCGATATTCCTTTGCGCTCGTGCGCGCGTCCAAATCTCAGTTCCTGCAGACATATGACTGGGCCCTTATGATTTACGAACCTGAAGATGATACGATTGTGACATGTTATGGCCTTCGATCTTGTAGACCTCAGAGCCACCATTGAGCAGCGCATCAGTGAACATCAGTTCTTCCTGTTTTTCCATGTTTTTCGTGATTTCATCAACGCAATGTTTCCACCCTGCCCGTTGCTTTTTGCGATACATTTCAGATCAAGAAGCGCCCTTGGTTCCTGGGGGGGCGATGTTCCGGGGTTTCTTGGGGCCTGGGTCAGCCGGGCCCGGAGCTGGAACATCGGGCTGGTTGGAGCAAGCTCAACGTCCGGCCATGCCAGAAGCCAACGGTGACTTGATGGAATTTCTTACTGTGTTTGCATGTCTTTGTGAAAGACATGGACAATGAACACCCGGTACGGTATAATATCACTTCACGAGCGCTAGTAAGACATCATTCTTCACGAGCGCTTGTGACCATTTGGTTCAGGCTCGGGCTAAGTTGGTGTGGCTTCCATGGCATGCAACTATAAGGGTTGTAGGTCTTCTATGTCATGGCACTGCATGTACGGTAAGTTTGCAAGCCTGGAAACTGAGCTGTATAGTATATACGGATGTGTATATACTTATTTCTGAGCTGAACGTTTGGAGTCAGGGCCGATGCTTCTTTTCGGGCTGATTGGCGCACACCTCGCAGGTGATGTTAGATCATATGTCCGACGTGAAGTGGAGACGGTGGCCGCTTCCATTCCTCAGCAAGCCGCGTCTCCGCCAGTACAACTCATCATACAGAACAGCTCAAGCGTCAGCGAAACCAAGCCTGAGAGAGAGTTGCCACCGCGAAAGATGCCGCAAGACTTTTGGCACCTATCGAAGAAGGATCTCACCGATTTTTTGGCATCTCCGCTGAACCTTGCCTGTTAACTTACAATATTTTACCACAGTAGTTCTTGATGTTTTTGAAAGAGCAGTTGGCGCAATGCCCCCATATTAACTTCCTTTTCTCACCATCTCTCTGTGACAGTGTCACAGAGTGACACACTTTTTCATCCTTCTTCGATGATCGGTTGATAACACTTCATCTCAGACCGAACCATTTCTTGTTGCCTTCAGCTGGGCCCAGGAACCAGGTTTGTCTCGTAGGCCTTGCTGGCTTCGCCTTGTGGATTTACCAGGCCAAATCAGAGTATCCTGGGCACATATGGCGCTCGGGATGGGTGAATATGATGGCTGATCTAGGCCTCTCCAGGTTGGGCAGCCCACGAAACTGGCAAACCCTGTCGATAGGAGAATCCTGTTGGGTAAGCAATCAGGAAATGCAGTGAAGCAACTGCTACAAGAAAGCATGAATAGTGGTCAACCCGGAAAAAGTTGCGTTTGTGTTGGGGAACAATGTTGACATGGTGATGCCTGCAGATGCGTTGGATGCCAGACTTGTAGATTGCACCAATCTGTTCGTACAGAAGTCTGAAGAGCGGCCGAGGGAGAAGAGAAACACAATGACTCCGAAATCTCCGAAGCAACACCGTGGATTTGAGAGAAAGAAGCTACTAGGAACAAGTGCATCGCTTCTAGTAACAAGTGCCTTACTAGTAGTAACAAGAAGCTACTAGGAACAAGTGCCTTACTAGTAGTAACAGGTGCCTTACTAGTAGTAACAAGAAGCTATTAGAAACAAGTGCCACGCTAGTAGTAACAAGTGCCTTACTAGAGTGAGAGAGTTGTTTGGGCTGCCGAGTTGCACTGGTCACCGACTCAGGCATCAAACGAGGATGCTTGAGATGCAGCGCCGGATAGACAGCCGGCCTTTATTCAGCATTTTGTATTGAGGTGTTGGTATTGAGATAATAAACAATTATAAACAGATATATATAGATTATATATATTTTCATAAAATGCACATATAATAGCATATATATAATATATAGAAGTGTTGTCCCAATTAATTGGACAGATCTAAAGGAAAGGCCAGTAGCCGACTGATAAGTCTACAGTAGTGAGTCCAGTGGAAGAACGTTCTTGGAACCGAGTTCGTGCAATAGCGCCATGAGGACAGCAATCCGTTCATGAAGCTCATGTCGATGATCCTGGCTCCGAAGGAGGACAATCCCTTCATCAAGACGGCCTCGTCGGTCTTTAGCCCATCTACATGGCCAAAGTAGCTTTCTTGGCAATGAAGTGAGCAGGGAGCGGAAATGCAGGCAATCATAGCAAGACGGCGATCCATTGTCAAACACACCATGAAACATGCTGAGCCTTAATAAGTTGCAATCAACCGACGCGAGCCTGCATTCATGAAGTGTAGGACAGTGTAGGAACTGGCAAAGCATGTTCCACCTTTGCAGTGTAGATAGCTACACCATCAAAACAAACCGACTTTGGTGAAGGGACCAAAAGAGGAGGCTGCATGACTGCATTTGTCAATTGTGCATCATGAGTTCTCATGAGTTCTGAATGTTCTGGATCCTTTTTCAGGAAACAATTGAACAGCCCGCAGGCATTTTCCAGCACTGCACGAAAAAGCCCCGCCCTGTCCAGCAAGTGCGACTCGCCATGGCAGCCGAACTGAAGGCTGAGATTGAGGCGCTCGTTGCAAAGATCTCTGACAAGTCAGAAGGTCAATCTGCTCTTGAGGGCTTGGCCAAGATCGCTGAGGAGAAAGGCCGGCCGGCCGAGCCCTTCCTGGTGTCCGCCTTTCCAAAGATCCTGGAGGCTTCCAATGATAAGTCCAAGAACGTGAAAGATGCAGCTGTGGCCACCAGCAAGACCATCATGGGTATGGTCTCGCCCTTCGCAGTGGAGATGCTGCTGCCAGCCTTCTTGAACGGCTTGGCAGTGAAGGCTAAACCACCACAGAAGGAGGCCACCTTGCAGATCATCTCTGCCTTGGCTCAGAAGGCACCTCGAGCCGTTGGCTACTTGCTGGTGAATTTGGTGAGCCCAGTGGCTGACCTGACGTGTGACATCAAGAAGGAAGTGAAGCAAGCAGCCCTGGAATGCATGACTTCCATTTGCAACTGCACTGGTAACAAGGACTTGGAGCCTTTTCTGCCAGCAGTGGTGGATGCTGCTTCCTCCATCGACAAGACTCACAGCTGCGTGGAGAAGTTGGCAGGATGCATCTTCGTGCAGAACGTGGAGGCGCCTGCCCTGGCGGTCACCATGCCAGTGCTCACACGAGGCTTAAACGACAAGAATGAGGAGGTGAAGCGCACCTGCTGTCAGATCGTTGACAACATGTGCAAGTTGGTGGAGGATCCTGCAGAGGTGCTGCCCTTGATGCCCAAGCTGGAGCCTTTGGTGAAGAATGTGTGTGAGAAGATTTCCGACCCCGAAGCCCGAGGAGTGGCTGAGAAGGCCTACAAGACCTTGCAGAAGGCGGCTGGAGAGGGAGCTGAATCCATTCAACAGGTCTCCATGGAAGCCGCTAAGAAGCAGGTCGAAGATGCCCTTGGTGACAAGAAGGGCTCGGGAGAGGTCTATGAGGCTGAGCTGAGCCACGTGTCAGCTCTGGCAGCTTGTGCTGCAAATATGCGGGTGTTTGAAGACTCTGCATGGAAGAATGATGTGGGCTACTTGGCCCCCTTCGATAGTGTCACTGAGCAGCTTCGTGCGAAGATGGAGGTGGCTGCCAAGCCCAAGGAGGAAGTGGAAGAGGAAGACACCGAGGGTGTAGACCTGTACAAGGGTGCTTTCTCTTTGGCCTACGGAACTTTGACACTGCTGCGGGATGCCAAGATGCACGTGAAGAGGAATCGATTCTATGGCCTTTTGGGCCCGAACCAGTGCGGCAAGACCACGCTCATGCGTGCCATCGCCAATGAACAGTTGGAGGGCTTCCCAAAGCGAGATGAGCTGAAGAGCGTCTTTGTGGAGCATGAGATTGAGGATGAGGAGGTGGGTGTGCAGGATGATGGATTTCCCATCCTCTCAGTGGACAAGCCGGGTTGGTGGTGGGTGGTTCACACCTGCAACGACGTTTACAAGCTGGAGCCTCCGGTGAAGGAAGACACCGTGAAGGAGCTGATGAAGTCCATTGGTTTCGGCTACCCAGGCGGCCCAGATCGTGCTGCCAACCTGGAGCTGCCTGTGACATCCTACTCAGGGGGCTGGAAGATGAAGATGCAGCTGTGCGCTGCTCAGCTGATGAATGCAGATGTCTTGATGTTGGATGAGCCCACGGGTCACTTGGATGTGGACAACATCAAGTGGTTGGAAGATTGGTTGGAGTCCTTCTCGGGTTCCATCATTTGCACTTCTCACTTCAGCCCCTTCCTGGACAAGATGTGCACACACATTATCGATTTCCAGGACAGAAAGCTCAAGACCTTCAAGGGGGTGAAGGGAACTTGCTTGACTCAGTTCGTGGAGAAGTACCCTGAGAAGAAGGCATACTTTGAGATCAGCAACGAGACCATGAAGTTTGTTTTTCCAGAGCCCGGCCCCTTGGAAGGCGTGAAGAGCCGCAGCAAGGTCATCCTCCGCATGAACAACGTGAGCTTTACCTATCCTACCAAGGAAAAGCCGACCATCATGGACGTAAGCCTCACCGTTTCACAGGTGAGCCGCGTGGCGGTCATTGGCGCCAATGGTGCAGGGAAATCCACTGCTATCAAGGTCTTGGTGGGAGAGCAGCTGCCAACTGAGGGCTCAATTTGGAAAGCACAGGGCCTGCGATTGGCCTACGTGGCTCAGCATGCCTTCCATCACTTGGAGAAGCACATGCAGGAGACCCCTACGGCATCTCAGACAGCCGTGGTAAAGCTTTGATGCAAACATTTGCTCCGTTTATTGTACAGAATGGAACATGTCAGGTGAGGGGCGGTTGCTGCCATACAGTGAACTCGTAGCTGTTGCTAGTGCTGTTGCTATTGCTGTTGTGTTTTGCATCGTCATCGCCAGAATGCTTCTTGCGGTTGTTTCGGTTGCGGTTCTTATTGTTGTGGCAGGGATATGTGTCGTGTTGAGTCGTGTTGTTGTTCTTCTTCTTTCTCCAAGGCATACATCATGTGGCGTTTCGCGGGAAACGATGACCGTGAATCCTTGGAGTTCAAGACTGATGAGTTGTCCGTAGATGAAGAGAAGGCTCGTTCCCAGAAGTGGTGCATTGACAGCGTCACCGGAAATGTGCGACGCTGCACGGATCCCAAGGAGGATGCCAAAAAAGCTAAGCAGGATGAAGCTGGGGCCGTTATTCCCGATGCCATCGTGAACAGGCGTCAGAAGAAGAAGGAGAAGACCTTCGAATACGAGGTGAAGTGGCAGTTCAAGAGCATGGATCAGAACGTCTGGGTCGAGAAGGACATCCTGGTGAAGATGGGCTACCTCAAGTTGGTGCAACGAGAAGATGAGCGACAAGCAGCCATGGCTGGGTTGATGACGAAGCAATTGACTCAGCCGGGAGTCGAGAAGCACCTGGCCGACTTCGGAGTGGATGCTGAGAGTGCCTCTCACACTCAGATCAACCAGCTTTCAGGTGGCATGAAGGTGAAAGTGGTCTTGGCTGCAGCCATGTGGCAAAATCCCCACGTCTTGATCTTGGACGAGCCCACCAACTACTTGGACCGTGAGGGTTTGGGAGCGTTGGTCTTGGCCATCAAGGACTACAAGGGTGGTGTGCTGATCATCTCCCACAACAAAGAGTTCTGCGACAATGTGGCCACTGAGAAGTGGATCATGCAAGGTGGGCGCTTGCGCATTGAAGGTGAGTCTGTGGACACCTCCAAAGATGACGCAAGTGCCGCGCAAGGTCCAGATGAGGTCTTTGATGGAGCAGGGAACAAGATTGAGGTGAAGAAGAGCATGACCATGACTGAGAAGGACAAGAAAAAAGGCAATCAAGGACATCGAGAAGAAGATCAAGGATGGCAAGAAGAAGCAGACCTTGACTGACGAAGAGGTGTGGGAGCTGGAGGACAAGCTGAATGAGCTGAAGGAAAGCTTGAAGGGCAAGGAGTGAGTGCACTGAGCACATCTGAGAACTAGATCTCTAGCCGCTGTGTGCTGTTTTCGGCCACATGGGCGATGATTGTGTCGCTCTGTCGAGGGTCCCTGGTCCCTGACTTGGTGAAAGCTTCTGAAAGCACCAAGAGCTGAAGCTGCGGAACGGGGACACAAAATGAAGGCCCCCTGTCACGCATGTCTTTCCATTGGCTGAATCCAATGACTATGAGAGATGTGGCAGCTGCAACTGAGGCCGGGTGGCATCAACAAAGGTAGCCAAACGCTTAGAAGTTGAGAGACCTTAGTCACCTAGTCGTGAGTTGGTGCAGGCACAGCTCTGCATATTGGGGCTTCAGTTGCCCTTTAATCATGTTACGGCTGTGTGAGCTGTTTAGGCATTTTTGATAATTTTTGGTGCTGCAATGCTCGCACAGCAGACATTGATGCGTAGCATCAGCTCAGAGCATGACGTTCGAAGGAGGTGATAGTAGCGGTATATTGCTATAGTCAAAGGAAGTTTAGTGTACGAAACTTCCGTGTTAGGGACATTCAAGAACTGTTCATACACCACTAATCATACACCACTCATCATACACCACTCATCATACACCACTCATCATACACCACTTCTCATACACCACTCATCATACCCCTCATCAGTGGTGTATGATGAGTGGTGTATGATGAGTGGTGTATGATAAGTGGTGTATGATGAGTGGTGTATTGATCAGTGGTGTATTGATGAGTGGTGTATGATGAGTGGTGTATGATGAGTGGTGTATGATG